TCAGGCTTAATACAGTTTGTAAAAATTTTTTTTTCAAACAGAGGCTCATTCTGTTGCCTAGGCTGGAGTACAGTGGCATGATCTCGGCTCACTGCAACCTCCACCTCCTTGGTTCAAGTGATTCTCCTGCCTCAGCCTCTTTGAGTAGCTGGGATTACAGGCATATGCCACCACATCCTGCGAGTTTTTTGTATTTTTCATAGAGATGGAGTTTCACCATGTTGCCCAGGCTGGTCTTGAACTAATGAGCTCAGCCAGTCTGCCTCCCTTGGCTTCCCAAAGTGTTAGAATTACAGATGAGAGCTTCTGCACCTGGCCAGTCCCACTCTAATTTGCCCAGGAATTGAATCGTCTGTTTTTCCAGTGTGTTTAAGCCATACAGTCATCCCTCAATATCAAAGGGACTGCTTCCACAACCCCTGAGGATACCAAAATCAGGTGATCTTCAAGTCCCTTATGTAAAGTTGGGTACTACAGTCATACGCTGCATAATGACATTTTGGTCAACAAGCAGATCTATGATGGTGGTTCCGTAAGATTACAATGGAGCTGAAAAATTCCTGTTGCCTAGCTACATCAGAGCAGTCATGACGTCATAGTCTAGTGCATTCCTTGTGTCTGTGATGATGCTGGTGTAAACAAACCTAGGTTGTTACCAGACAGCTTTAACCTGGGTGTGGGTGAGGATGACATTGCGATGGTCCTAGAGGGGGTTCATGAGAAATAAGCGAGTAAGTTGTTGAAACTGATACAAGAACACGTAGCTGAAGAAGAGGTAAGCGGATAGAAAAGTGAAGGAGAAGAAAAAAAAAAATCCAGGAACTTTCACAGTGAAGCGTTTAGCAGAAACTTGTACAGACCTCAACAAGCTTCTTAAAAAGTTTGAAAACATGAACTTCAACACCAAAAGCTGTTTGTTTATAATTACGTATTTATTTTGAGACAGAGTTTTGCTCTGTCCCCCAGCTTGGAGTGCGGTGGCGCGATCTCGGCTTACTGCAACTTCCGCCTCGTGGGTTCAAGCCGTTCTCCTGCCTCAGCCTCCTGAGTAGCTGGGATTACAGGCGCCTGCCACTACGCTCAGGTAATGTTTGTATTTTTAGTAGAGACGACATTTCACCATTTTGGCCAGGCTAGTCTCGAACTCCTAGACTTGTGTGATCTGCCTGCCTCAGCCTCCCAAAGTTCTGGGATTATAGGTGTGGACCACCGCGCCCAACCTCAAAAGGTGTTTATTAATAGGAAAGTTCATGGTTCATTATCTGCTCACAAGAACATTTAGGAAGAAAAAATAAGCAAGCAAATCACTGCAGATATTTTTCTTCCTCTGTCTATTGTTTCCCAATCTGCTGACTTTCAGATTCACGGCTCAGACGAACTGAAAAGAGTGCCTCCTCAGCTGGAAGAGCCTCAGGCAAGTTCTTCAAGAGGTATCCAGAAGAAGGCTTTGTCATCCCAGGAGATGACAGCGCCATACATGTTATTGCCCCTGAGGACCTTCCAGTGCGACAGGATGTGGCACTGGAAGATAGTGACATTGATGATCCTGGCCCTGTGTAGCCATTAGGCTAATGTATGTGTTTGTGTCCTGGTTGTTGACAAAAGAGTTTAAAGGGGGAATTTTAAATGAGAAAAAAATTTTTTTTATATTTTATTTTTAAAAAGTTTAAAAGGGGAAAATAAATTTTAAAAGACAAAATATTTTTGTACGGCCATACAATGTCTGTTTTAAGCTAAATGTTATTGTAAAAGTTAAAAAGTTAAATTTAGAAGTTTAGAAAGTCAAAAATTGACGGTAAGCTAAGGTTAATTTGTTATTGAGAAAAAACATGTTAGTATAGCCTAAATATACAGTAAGTATGTATGTATGTATATATTTTTATTTTTTAGCTCTTTTTTTTTTTTTTTTTTTTTTTTTTTTTTTTTTT